GTGAGTGAGTAAGAGTGAGTGAGTAAGAGTGAGTGAGTAAGAGTGAGCGAGTAAGAGTGAGCGAGTAAGAGTGAGTGAGTAAGAGTGAGTGAGTCAGAGTGAGTGAGTAAGAGAGAGTGAGTGAGTGAGTGAGTGAATGAGTGAGTGAGTGAGTGAATGAGAGTATGAGAGAGTGAGAGAGTGAGCGAGAGAGTGAGTGAGTGAGTGAGCGAGTGAGACAGTGAGCATCTGAGAGCACAAAGTGCTGCGCCTGCCACGAAATCTGCGCTTCGAGGTTGACAAAGTGCTGCACCTGCCACGAAATCTGCACTTCGAGGTTCACAATCTGCTGTGCCTGCCTGGAAATCTGCACTTTGAAATCTTCACTTCGAGGAAAGTGCTGCGCCTGCCACGAAATCTGCACTTCCAGGTTCACATAGTGCTGCCCCTCCTGCGAAATCTGCACTTCGAGGTTCACAAAAGTGCTGTGCCTGCCACGAAATGTGCACTTCGAAGTAAAGCCGCTCCGATCCCTTGCACCTGTCACGAAAAGCCGACTTTGGACCACCAAAGCACGAGGACGAAAAGTGACCATCATGTCCGAAAATGCGCACGGCACCACAACAAGAGCGCGACTGCAACAAGCACCCGCCGCGGACACCCAGATTTTGCGAGCGTGCGCAGTCGAAATGCACTTGGAGGATTTCGAGAGGCATGAATGTACTGTAAATAGCAGCGAGTTAGCCGCACACGTCGGTGCAACACCTCGATTAGACACCGGTGCTTAACCCCTACCGTAAAAGTCCGTAAGAACCCCTAGTGTGTCATGACATCATAAAATTTGGTATATGGGCTTTTGTGGGCCTACAATACATAATCTAAATACTAAATCATCCTAAATCTATAGTTACAATAGAGAGAAAAAAGGGATGTGAGATATGGTATACTATATGCTGTATAGTATATTTAGGCACATCGTGTTGGCACGAGTCACCGAATTGAGATCACACGGAATCTTGAATCTTGCCTGAACCGCGATGAGTCATTGTGCGAAGTACTCCACTCCAAAACATGCTGAGGATGTCCAGGCAAGTCCTCAGGGCGTTATGACACGCAAATGACTGCTTGATGCCGGGTCGGATTTGCTGCACGATGCTTTAAAGCTTAATGTCTTTATGCTTACTTTTGTGGTAGCCTTTATGTCACGTGGTCTGATGTAGTCGTACAGCAGCAGCAACGCCCCGGTGAGCTAGTGGCAGTGGTGAAGGCAAAGGGGACCAACTGCGCAAGAACCATGCCCGTCATGTCTTTCACACCTGCTTGTCTTTCAAAACCCCTACTATATTGGTGTAGAGTGTGAGATCCAATTGGCCAGCCAAGTTGCTGCACAGGTGGACGTTACTGGGATGATTCAGACATGTATGTGGTATTTCGTGTTACAGTATATACATATTTTTTCCAGTGGGACTTGGCCTACCGAATCAAAGAGCCTTTGTCCCACCAATCAACGCGAACTTCCTAATTTCTTTTGGGATATTCAGATATTCTGTTATTACCTCATGCAACACCGATTTTAGTGTACTGATGCGTATCCACGAACGTTCCGCAGGTCCTCGTTAAGGTCATCCGTGTCTGGAATCGCTTGAATCATCGCAAGAAGGTGCGAGTGTGTGAAGTCAGGAAACCCAGCCCCTTGACAAACCTAAAGACCACAAAGCTACAGAAGTCAACTTGCTGGCGATGTCTTGTTCTCAATTAGTGCGTGATAACCGCATACACTTGGTCGAGGCGGGAGATGACGGAGGTGACACAACACGAACAAGCATCCAAGGGTACCACCGCAGTGAAAGCAACCAAACGAGGAGGGCAACAAATCAACAAAAGCAACAAGCACAGGAGCAAATTGAAAAAAACTGAATGATCAACGTTCACTCTCTGAGATCTTATCGTGGCTCTAGTGAGGGTGTACTTGGGGGATTAAGTTTGCGTGGCCTTCATGAAATCATGGAAGAATCGACGGGGCACTCAAGCGGAGAGAGGGACGATGAGAGAACACCGTTCTCGAATTCCTGGGCAGGTGATGAGTGCGAGAGTGAGAGTAGTGGGAGTGAATGGGTGTGACTATGACCCGATGATAGTGATGAAACTGAAAGCTGAACGTTTGAGGGAAAGAGCCACCCTGACAGAACACTTCCTGTGACTGACTCTAGCCGGCAAAAGCTAGCTTTGTGATGTCAGAACCCGGCATTGAACATGTTGAACGCGTGGATCAGCAAATGAGTGCAAAATAATGCCAACATGTTTGCGTGGCATGCTCGAGCTACTAAGCATCACTTCCAGCCATCACCACGTCCTTAACGAAGCCTGTAGCAGCTGGAACCCATTGCAGCACCTTCGAAACTGAAGCGGCCATGTCCAGCAGAAACAATTGCCCTTGCAAAGCTACCTCCAAAGTGCTCTGAAGCTTGAGGCAATCGTTCACCACTGCATCCTCACGTTCAGTGTGCGCAAGTGTATAACATGCAGTGGGCAGCTAAAGGCCGCCTTACCGGAAGAGGCAGCATCAATTGCTGTTGTTAATTTTCTTTCTGTTTGCATATTCCAGCGCCATTACCAACATATTATATGCATGTTACTGTCTCGTCAAAAAAAATCATGTAAACATTTAAAACGTATGGATCTGATCTGGTAGTCATCCGTTGCTTCGCTGCTGAAATTGCGCAAGGTGTGGCCAGCTGTCCTGAAATTGAGCGTCTCTAATGGGGAACTGGCCCGTTGCCTGTCCCTTGCAGGACCGATGCTTTTTGTGATTGCCTGGATGCCTAGATCCCTAGATCAAGAAAAAATCTTTGGCTAATTCCCATACCGTGCCTGAACATGAACTAATCGGCCTCGATTTTCTGTATCGAGCTTGTTTGCATCCACACTGGCACAGGCAAACACTGCAAAAATGAACGCGAATTGGACTTTGGCAGCATGGTTTCAATGGCCTTCCATTGCAGCATCACACGCCCCGACAACTACTCAAGTCAGTGTCTACGCAACAAATTACATGTCCGATCATATTTGAGGACACATGCGTGCATGCGCATGCGGTTGCACCTTCGGCAGTCTTCGAGACCCTTGGTCAAAAGCACCTGCCAAAGAACATGATCTGCACACTTAATATCTAGTTGAAGTCCAAACCATTCAGCCCCTCTTGTATCATGTACTTGCTGGATGTGCCTCAATTTTGGCGCTTCGCTCCTGGACCAAGCACGTCGCTATGGGTTGCGGTTGGAATAAGTTGGACAAGGGCTGAGGTGGCTCAGGCCTCGTTGAACCAGTGAACTGACACAGCCAGCGAAAAGGCAATGATGCCGAAGATCAAGCCAAAAACGAAATCCTGGCAAAACTGAAGCAAAACAGTTCTTAGAGACACTCAAAACCCTGCGCGGATCGCCACCAACTGGCCCGCTTGACTGACTTGGTGGCAAATGAAGGGGCAAACGCAAGGAAGCGTTGAAAGCCAGCTGAAAGGGTGGAACTATGCCTCATGCCTTTGTAGCCGTAACAATCAGCATTCTGTTGACTCCACACTCCTCAGTAAGGGAGTTGACCTCCTCAAATTTGCAGGTTGAGTCACAGTGAGAGTACGGAGTTGTCAAAACAGAAGTTGCAGCCAATAGCAAATTGATGTGTGCAGATTCACTGCAGGTCCAATCCGTGGTGTGTTAGAATCACATAGTCTATGTGACATAGACATATAATGACACATATAAATGAATGGACAGCTGGGCCATCAAACACGAGTTGTCCAGGTTGGCAAGTTTCTGAAGCCAATTGAAGCCAGTTCTACAGTTCGTTCAAACACTCTAATTCAAGTTCCAGTCACAAAGTTCAAGAGGCACCTCAATCTTTTAAGGCTCAGTTTGTTAAGGCCAACCTTTACGTGTTTAAAGCAAGTTTTTGGTTTGCGTGCAACTATCTCTCTCTCTCTCTCTCTCCCTCTCTGTCTCTCTCTCTATATATATATATGTGTGTGTGTTCATGTCCGAAAACAAAGAGCGAATATGTACTGTACTGCATGTATATTACAACTTGTCCTCAAGTATATAATATATATATACACTGTATGTTTATTAACATGTATTGATTTTGATTTTGACCTGCTGCTCCCATCCGTTTGCAAGTTGGACGTGGCAATATGATACAATACGGTTATATGATATGATCTTGCCTTTTCGGGTATCGCAACAGTACAAACCACCGCATGATGTATGCGAGGAATTGCGAGGATAAAAATAATTGGGAGCCACGATGCAGTCAAACAGCGTTGGTTTGCTTCCTCGAAACCTTTTGAAGATCCCAGTAATCAGGAGAGAACGGGTCCGAGTTGGTGCTTGGTGACTTTCAAGAGCCTGGATCAAATCACTTGCAGTACCTGACAGGCATTTTTGGAAATGGAGTCTGACTCTTTGCTTTTGGAATGTGAGAACTGGGAGTCCGTTTCCAACCTCAAGAGACAACGATCTTTCAGAGATTGAAAATTGTCCTTCCTTCGTTGAAGTGCCTGTGAAAGTTGAGAACTCCAGCAGGCATCTTGCCTTCTTGTTATATTTGTTACGGTTCGTCTTTTGTGTGTGTGTGGGCAAATGCCAGTTTCAGTGTTTGGGGACTTCTCAAAGGGCACACCTACACGAGCTTCAAGGATCTATGTGCACCTTAATCAAGCGCCTTTCCCGAAGTCCCCAAAGGCCTCCTTCATCTTTCAGAGCTGCCCGTAAACAGCTCTCTCAAAAAGGATGAAGCAGGAAAGTCTCTGCTTGGCAACTTTTGCAGCAGCAGAACCGCCTTCAGCAAACCAGTCCGCAAGAGATCTCAGGACTTTCACTCTGCGTTTCCTGGTGAGCACATCAGCCGCGCGCTGCCACATTTGAGCTCCCGCATGAAGCTGAACTGGCTGTCGCTGTCGGCTGAAGGTGGATGATGTGGATGGATCCGATGGATCCTTGTCTTTCCTTTCAAGCGACTCCGTCGATGGGGCATCCGCTGCACTGCTCATTGAGCCACGCGTTACCACTGAGGGACCCCAACAAACCGGTTCACATTCACAAAAGATTGCCTTTTAGGCGTCCGGCGTCCCCGATTTTTGTTTGGCTCAACAGATCCAAGTGACATGTTTGATATGTCCGGGAATGAATGATTTGGAATGTCCCAAAATGTGGGCTCCGGCCTTGCCTTTGGGCTTGACATCCCTGGAGCCTGGAAGCTGTAACAGCTAATTGCGAACGCTTGGCTCCAAAAAGGTTCATATGCAAAGGCCTCTGGCTGTGTTTGCATTGCGCGGCCCAGGTTCCTGGCTGTTTGACTTGGATAGTGCGAACGGAAAGAGCCTGCTGCTTGAACGGAGCACTGGGGTTTGAAAGTTTGAAAGCTTTTAGCTTGTCACGCAGCTTTACCAAGCCAAATTGAACTGGAAGTTGTGCAGATGAAACCAGGACTACCAGCCTCTCGCGCCATCCTGCTGAAGTGCATACTCAAAACCAAGCTGGTTCAACAGTCGATTCAATTGCCCTTTGCAATGAACTTCTGTCCGCCAGTTTGGGGAAGGCCCAGGTCGCGATCCAAGTGCCGACTCTCTTCCGCTGTCCTGCAAAAACACGCACAGCGCCTGTTAGTGGGAATGTTGGAATTGGTGAAACAAAAGCAGCTTCCGGCTTCCGACCTGTTGTGGACCAAGGCTGCTGTGCACCAAGCAGCACCAAAGAAGAGAAAAACTCTTGGCATAGCCTCAGAACAAAACGATACGAAACACAAAAAGACAAATATAAACATCTTGGTAAACTGTCAAAAATGTCGGTGGATGTGTGGATGTCGATGTGGTCACTCCCAGGCTCCCTCTCTCTCTGTCTCTCTCAATATATCCCTCCCTCTCTCTCTCGTTCCCCTTCCCTGTCTCTCTGGATGGCTGTTGCTCTAGCCTCGTCGTCAGGGCAGGTCCATTGGAGAATAGTGGCGCTTCTGTAGTCCCCATACACTCATGTACAGTACCGGATAAGGCACTTGAGCCTATGAATGCAGCACGTTTTTTGAAAAACACTGGTCTGGCCCACGTGAGAAAAGACTATTTGATGCAATAAAACGCGGCGCGGCTGTTTTGGAAGCTGTGGCAATCGTCTTGTTGATCAGACCTATGGACAGGTGCTTCCTTCAGAGATCACCTACTAAGAAATGCTAACATACAAACGTGTGCACATTCGTTGCTAATCATCCTTCGTAGGACCACGACAAGTTCCCAAATTTTGCTCGATACTTTGGAGAAGTGCAATAATTCTTTTTGCAGTAAGCAACATCACACTGAAAGTTGCCCATTGCACATGCAGTCATGGCCTGAGCCAAAGGTGACGCCCAAGTGCAAAATGGCCAAACAAAAATACGATTGCTTTTAAACCAATGCAAACACAAGAAATGCAGCTAAGTCCAAGTATCCGATATGTCTGCTTCATGGTGGGCCAGCTTCATCAAAGAGTTCCAGCCAGTCACATTCCACTCCTGCACACCACATGCTGAAAACTTTAAAATGGGACAACGAACTCCGGAGTAACTGAAACTAGCTGAAACACTTGAAATAAGTTCCAAGTGAACATTTTGTGATCCACCCAGGAACACACGATAGCAACTGACATGTTCACACTCTGGGATGGAACGCACTGTGTTCGACCCTTAGTCGGGCTCACATTACTTCGTCCTCGCTCTGTCCGCTAAACCGTTGCCCCGTCTTTGACCCGGTCGTCTCGATACAGAAATTCAATACCGAATCATGTTTATTGCTTCATTCTGCTCCCATAACCCTTCAAATACACAACTTAAAGTTTTTGACTGCCTTGCCATGACTCATTTCCAAGCTGACCTTACCCGTTGGACCGCCAAATGAGCGGCTGCAAATGCCCCCGTAGATTCCCACATCTTATTAAGGACCTTGTGCATGCATTTATACTTTCCTCGCGCAACCCCACAGTTAAGCTTACAGGACAACCAAATGTCCTATGGTTCCAGGTTAAGTTAAGCCAGCAGGGGTGTGATGACAGTAGTGGGACTCACCGCAAAACATGGTGGACTTTTGAAGCAGTAGGCTGGGATCGGCACTGGCCAAGCAGTTGGCAATCACACAAGGTCAGGACACTTTGGAATCTAATAAAATCTACCTCTCGCTATTCAAGGGGAGGGGTGAGGTTGTACGTGCATGCACGTGCCATTGTGTAGCTATAAAACGAAAATGTACCCCGAGGCAAAGGCATCTGCAAAATCAAATTCTTGTAAAAAGAAAACAGACTCTGCAGAATTCCTGTCACAAGGACACTGTAGAGGTGCAACTTTTTCAAGTCAACACACAAACTAACTACTCAAACCCATTCTGTCAGCACACCATGAGACACCCATTATGGTCAAGAACTCCCGAGTCATCAAACATCTTTCCCGATCTTAATCTTCCAATGTAAACGTGTGTTGTATAGGCCCCAGACTGCCTAAAGACACCTGAAACGAAAATATCGCAAAAGGCCGACAAACTGCCCACAATCAAAAGCTTGCAAGTCATCATGTGGCTGGTTCAAAAAAACCTACTTCACTTCGAGTGGCCCCCACCATGACATTTCAATCTGACAAGTTTTCTGGCGTGTCCTGAAATATTATTTTGGCGTTCTTTCTGTATATATATATTTATATATATACAGTACATACATATGTATATATATATAATTTTATATATAATACTTGCCTTTTTCAGGGGTCAACCCGTCCCAGTCTGTAGAGACAATGCGCAGGACTACTTAAGACTATTTAAGTTATGCCGGTCCCTCCGTATTCTGGAGTTGTACGACCATGCTGGGTGCTTTTGAGGAGCATATGTTGTGCTCTGCAGGGTAGGCTGGGAAAGTTGAGTTTTGTTGACTTCCTTCTTTCACCCCTTGTCGTTTTCGCACGTTGTACATGGATGCCAACAATCGTGGTTCCTAACTCGGAAGGTTTACAGTAATCAGTTTAATCTATATAAACTTCCTCTGATGATTACAGCTTATGCCATGAAGCAAGGAACTCCTGTCCCAGGGTCCCACTGCAGTGTACTCGCACAACTCTGTGATGACTGTTTAGAGCAAATGATTCAAATGATGACAAAGTTGGGACGTATGGCCAAGCTGGGATACAAATCATCAAACATGACAGCAATTCAAGCGAAGAAAGTGTGTCAGCTTTTTATGAATGGGAATATTCTAGCAGGGACATAGCAGCCAGCCAGTGGCAATAGACCTGCAGGAAACAATCGAATGGGAACAAATGAAGGGAGCATACAAGCTCGGGTACAGTACCTGTGAGCAGACTGCATACAATCATACAATAGGTTGAGAACTCAAACGCACACAGAGCAAAAGAAACAATATTGGTGGATGTTTTGTGAATGAACAGGAGGCGTAAGATAGCTGTTCTGAATGGAACAAGCGTGATCAAACATCTAGCCAGTCAAGTGTATTATTTGGTACCGGAAGGCTGGCCTCATCCGCGCAACTCTCCTCCTGCCCCACCGATTTCTTACCGCGGTCGGCCTGCGTAATCTGCGTTATCTAAAGATTTTCATGTCTAGTTATTCAAGGGTGCTGGTATGCGTTCTTGTTCTTTGAGGCTGACACACACACACAAGCCTCTCGCCATCTCAATTTCTGACAGCTTGTCATTGTCTGTGTCAGGGAGAAAGAAACTGGCAGTGAGCAGCAGCAAGCAGGTCAGGAGGAGAAAAATCTCAGCACTGAACAAATCCATATTGGTCAAGGACGAATGCGCACGGCTGCCAAAGTGAAAGCCTTCACTTCACGAGTGGAGAGGAGCCTGTTGTCTGATCGTCTTCCCTGTCTCAAAACTGTGTATCCTGAGTGGCACAATAGCTCGTTTTTGGCAGGAAGAACCGTTCTCATAGACCTGTAATTACTTAGGTGCGATTCAACGACCATTTGTGCACGCTTCGTGTGTATTTTGAAGAGAAACAGTCAGCAAATTGACATTTCATGACTGGACATGACGGGGGTGACCGCATGAGACCTTTCCCAGACCACAACCAATGGTTCGAGGGTTTGATTCGCTTTGATGACCGCAGGCCTTGGGACCCATTGTGCGAGCAAAAAGTCGCTCGTGCGAAGGGATCTTCAGGATCTTGTATACATATACATATACATACAAGTATGTGTATATATATATATATTATTTTTTAAACACATATTATATACACAGATTATATGCAAGTCCCCGACCCGCTTTGTGTCCTTTGGAATCTGGTGTGTGGTGCCCATTTCCAGTGCACGAGCCAACACAGCCATGAAGTCTTTCCAGCCAATCTTTGTCCACCTGCAGCATGGTAATAAGGAGTTCTTAAGAAAGCAGAATGATTCGCAGTAGAAAAAAGTAGAGCATCTAGTATATGTCCTAAGTCGAGCACAACAGTCAGTGGTCGGAAGAACATATTTTCTATCAACAAAATGGTTTTCCCGTCAAGGATTTTCGAAGGCGCCAATCTGTCGGCCCCAGCCTCTCACCGTAGTGCTTGTCACAAAAGGCACTTGCCTCTTCTATTGTTGTTGTTTCATTCACCTCTGTGTTGTTGCAGTGTCCGGCCACAAAACAATAGATGGCATCTGCACCTGGGTCAGTTAGAACATGCTACCACTTGAAAAACAATGGCACCAATTTCACTGAAGTGACATGTTCTCTCGAACCAAGAAGCGCACACAAGTGAACTCTTTGAGAGGAAGGAAGGTGAGACAAACAAACGAATGCTCCCCACCATGACACTTCAATCTGACAAGTTTTTGGCATGTATTGAAAACTGTATTTCGGCATATTTCGGCATTGTTTCTGGCATATCTTCTGACATTCTTTCTACTGACATGATTTCCAACATTATTTCCGGCATATCTTCTGACAATCTTGCTGGCATCTCTTCTGGCACGCTTTCTGGCATATCGTTTGACATTTTTCCCCAGATAGCTGCAGGCAGTAGTAGGGGTTTGGTTTTGCGGGTGCTGCTGCCGTGCTGATGCTGGTGCAGGTGCAGGCGCTGGATCGGCGTTTTGGTTTTGCAGTGCTGCTGCCGTGCTGATGCTGGCACAGGCGCTGGCTCTGGATGGGCATTTTGGTTTTGCAGGCGCTGCTGCCGTGTGTTGATGTTGGCGCTGGTGCTTTCGTTTTGCTGGCGCTGGCGCCGCGCTGGTGCAGGCGCTGGCTCTGGGTCGGCGTTTCGTTTTGTGTCATGCCATGACATCACGTCATGCCAGGGGTGGCATCACGTCATGCCAGGGATGGCGTCACGTCATGCCAGGAGAAAGGGGGTCAGCAAAAACCGCTTATACGAAGTTAGTGCATCAAAAATACATTCCACGAAGTTCTGGGAAGGATTCTGGATTTCGTTGCAGTCAGTTCTTCTACTGGCCCACCATTCCACGAACCTTCCACGAATAGCCTTGGGTTCTACGAATGTCCCGCGCCTTCCACGATAGAACAGGTTTTTGCAAAACCCTTTCTGTGCACTACCCTTCCGTTTGCCTCTGATCATATCATGCCAGGGATGACATGATCTCACCCCAGGGATGACATCATGTCCTGCCAGGGATGATATCATGTCGTGCCAGGGGTGACATGCCGAGAAAGACATCATGTCATGCCAGGCCAGGATGACACCATGTCACACCCAGAATGACCTCGCGTCTTGCCAGGGATGACATCACGTCATGCCAGGGTGCGACATCATGTCACGCCGAGGATGATGACATGCTGTCATATTGTGCGTGACACCGTGTTGCGCAGCAATGATCATCGTGTCGTTTGGGCAGCTTTGGCTGGTCCTTGCCGATCTTGCAATTTTAGGTCTGTGCTGGGCAAAGCGGACGCATTCAGCTGACAGCCGTCCGAGGCGTCCTTTAAACCTATCTGGGGTCTACGCCGGTGTAATTTCTGGCATATCTTCTGACATTCTTTCTGGCATATCTTGTGACATTCTTCCTGGCATATCTTCTGACTCGCGATTGAGGTCGCGCGGCTATCACTGCCGTCCAGAACTGGCGGTTGAGGCCGGCCGGGAACACTGCCATCCGGAACTGGCAGTTCGGCGGGGAACACTGCAGTGCTACACTTGCGTTTGAGGTCCGGCAAGTGGCGGATGGCGGTTGCGGTTGAGGAGAGGAGAGGAGAGGAGAGGAGAGGAGAGGAGAGGAGAGGAGA